ATATTCAATCTTTTCATCATTTGTAGTCTCAATATGATAGCCATTTTGGCGAATATCTTTGAAACTTAATAAGTTTCTTTGAGATTTACTACAATATAGTGCTTCATCAATAGCCAAATTTGTTCCTCCTGGTAGTAATAAATTGGCTCTTCCAGAACCTTCAATTAATCTTGTACTACCGGATATTGTATTAACATTCGCTTCTTTCATTACCAAATAAGAGAAATATCTCTTATCTTTTAAAATAGTGTGTGTTGTAGCACTATCCAGAAGACATATATCATCTTTATTAATCTTGAGTCCAACTGAAGACTGGGGAATTTTCATATTCTTCATAAAAAAGACAAATAATACATCATAAGAAATATGAAAGACAAGCAGGAAAAAAAATATTAAGAAATACATTAGGAATGTAGAAACTAGCAACACGTGATGTATTAGGAAAATACACTCAAGAAAAATAAACTAGTTGCAAACATAAAAATAACAACTTTTATAGCTTCATTCCCCAGTAAGATGATTAGTTCTTCAGTCAATATCCTCAAAGAAGTCTCCAGCTTCTAAATGAGTAATATTTGTTAGGCCTTCAAAATCATCATCTTTATATGCAAGATGTGCCTTAGAATCATATTTGTTTGAGGGACCTACTTCATCATAATTATTTTGAAAGGTCAAGTGTGCCTCCACATTATTTTCTTTTTTCCTGAGGGAGGCTTGATAAAGTTTGACAAAATATTTTGGCGTACGACAAATGAGTGCCCGATGACCTCTCATACCACATCGGTGACACATACTATTTTTCCCTTTTGAATGATTAATTTGAGAACCCTTATTGTTCTCCAATTTATTTCCACCATAATGACGATAATTGTTTCGCCCCCTGCCACGTCCACGTTTATGACCATGTCCACGACCATAGTAATTATTTTGTTTTCTTTCAAATTTATCATATGCTGCTACAACATTCACTTCCGGAAATGGAGCTGACCCAGTGGGACGGGCTTCATGATTTTTTATTAATAGAGTATTATTCTGCTCTTCCACAAGTAGGCATGTGATTAACTCAGAATATGTCTTAAAACCTTTTTCACGGTATTGTTGTTGTAGCACCACATTTGAAGCGTGAAAAGTAGAAAATATTTTTTCCAATAAGTCCTCATCTGTGATAGTGTCTCCACATAATTTTAATAGAGAACTTACTTTAAAGATAGCAGAATTATACTCACTTACGGTTTTAAAGTCTTGCAACCTTAAATGTATCCACTCATACCGAGCTTTCGGTAATACCGTAAGTTTTAGGTGGTCATATCGATCCTTCAAATTAATCCATAATTCAAGTGGATCTTTTACGGTTAAATATTCAGTTTTTAACCCTTCATGTAGATGATGACGAAGGAAAATCATGGCCTTCGCTTTATCCTGATTTGATGCTTCATTTCCTTGTATAATAGTATTTCCAAGACCTTTAGCGTCAAGGTGAATTTCAGCATCAAGAACCCATGATAAATAGTTCCTCCCGGTGATGTCAAGTGCCACAAATTCAAGTTTTGATAAATTTGACATAGTGAAAACTATCATAAAAGATGAATAAGTTAGAGAAATAATTATAATAATAAACAATTAATGAAAACAAAACGATTAAGGTAAAAGAAATGAAAATAGAGCTATATCATGTTAACAATCTACTATTTCATTTTATTCTTGCCATAAAGTAGAAATTACATACTTGTTTCATTTCACTTTATATTATTGATATATATGTGTTAATAAAATTGAGCGTGACTAACATTATTTATATGTTCCAATAAATATAAATTAATTAAACTATAAAATTATTGCTTGTCAATGCATTTCTCATAGTTCTTCAAAATGCTTTAAAGATATATTTTGATCCAGGGAGTCTAAGAATATTATAAGTATGACATTAGTGCATAGCTAGTTTGATGACTTTGAGGTCCTCTAAGAGTTGATCACAGAAGAAAATAGTTATTCTATCACTGCAATGTACTTAAACTATTTAAGATGCTCAAGCACACAAGTAATCTGCAAACAGTGAGCATATGATATGTACTGCCATAAATAAAATGATTATAATGATACATACCTTAATAAAATATGGCTCAATTTAGCGGGAGTTAAGAATAAAATTAGAGCTTCGTGCTGATAACGTGTTATAAAATAAAAGCAATGCAGTGAAATATAAATAAGAAGAGATAGAAAGAAGGGAGAAGTGTTTTCTTCTTTCACTTTGGTGTATCTTTCCATTATAATTATATGGCCTTTTATAGTCATAAAAAGTAAAGATGATGGACATAAAGTAGGAGATTTAATCTTTAAGTTATTCACAACATGGGCATCCAATGTAACCTTCAATGTAAAAACTATTCATAACATTACTCTAGTTATTAACTATTAATGTTAAATTATTTCAAAGTAAGTATTACTATTGGAACGATAGATTAATTTTCATGTTGACGTGCATTGTCCTTTAATTTTTGGTTTTGATAAAAGTTCTACAACTCTCGCTCAGAAACGGCTCAAAGATAATCTTCAACTCAGATAGTTATAGGGGTGACAAATGGGGGTCAAGTCAGATCGGATACAGAGGAGGAGCTAGGATTTGGAGTGTGTGGGTTCTAAAATTTAGAATAAGACTATGACCTAAAACTAATATACAATATCAAACTGACTAAAGAATGAGTATCGATATTTAATATATATTTAAAAAGTAACGAAAGACAAACACAATATATGAATATAAACATTATCATTTCAATTGCACTCGACGAGTTGTCATGTTTTGAAAACAATCAATGATCGCATCATTAGATACACTTTCAAATACTTCATCCTCTATAAAACAAACTACACAATCATTCAAAAAGTCATCACCAATCCTACTTCGCAAATCATTTTTAATAAACTTCATTGAAGAAAAAGCCCTTTCAACCGTTGCAGTAGCCACAGGTAATATCAAACTCAGCTTCACAAGCAAATAAACAAGTCCCCATGTCTTGTGAATATTTGTTTTAACCAATGTCTTCGACAGATCACCAAGCTCTTTCAAGTTAGAGAATGCATTGTCCATTTCTCGCACATAGTCAATATAGTTGTCAAGCTCATAATTAAGATCTTCAAACTTAGAAGCAGTGAACTCATTTGGATAATATGTAGCAAGTTTCATAATCTTGTTTTTATCATAATTCGCAAAAGAATCATCGGGACTCAAACTAGCCATACCAAGAAGCAGAGAAGTATTCACTTCACTAAAACGACTGTTAAGCTCCGAAAGTTGCAAATCAATAGTAGCACAAAAAACTTCTACGTACAAATGATGGGAATATGTAACAGTTGAGCTTTTACGCTTCGACTTTCCAAGTGCATACTTCTCATCCATTTTTGGGATTACAATACCATTCTTATCACAAAACGAAGAGACATCTTCAATCAAAGAATTTCATTTAGATTCTCTCATTGTTTGCAATTGCCTCTTTGTGAAATCAACAAGTTTCATTGCATTAATAATATCTTGATCTTTTTTTTGTAGGGCCATATTCAAATTATATGTAATTGCTAATAGTTTTAACATCAAATGTAATATACAAACGAACTCATAAGATCTTATATCTTCCACTAGACTTTTGGCTAATGCTTTCTCCTGATAATTTGAACCCTCATTTGCAAGAACTCCAAGTATATGAACAATCGATGAGAATAAAGAAATAAAGTTACGTAATGTCTTAAAGTGAGATCCCCAATGAGTATCACCTGGTCTTTGAAGCCCAAGTTCTTGATTTAATCCACTTCCTGTATGAACTTCACCAAGCACTAATAACTCATCTAATTTTTCAGCTTGATCATCTCTAAGAATCTCTCTACGCTTATAAGAACCTCCAACAACATTCAAAACATTAGCAAGAAAGTCAAAAAATTATTTACATCATGGTGTTTCTTTGCAACAGCTACAAAAGTCAATTGCAACTGATGAGCAAAACAATGTATGCAATGTGCCGAAGGATTATCTTTCGGAATCAAAGTTTTAAGACCATTGATATTTCCTTGCATGTTACTAGCTCCATCATACCCTTGTCCCCGTATTAGAGATGAACTCAATGAATACTATAAAAGCAAAGAATATATTTCTTTTTGTAATGCATGTGCAGTTGTATCTTTAACATAAACAAGGTCAAGGAATCGCTCAATAAGTTCACCCTCTTTATTGATATAGCGCAGAACAAGAGCCATTTGTTCCTTATGAGAGACATCCTTAGACTCATCAACTAATATCCCAAAAAAATCCCCATTCAAGTTTTCAATAATTGCTTTCACTGTTTCTTTTGCACAAGAATTCACAATATCTTTCTGAATATCAGGAGAAGTCATGGTGTTATTTTTTGGAGCTTTTTCTAATACCATATTTTTCACATCTTCCTTCCTATCTGCATACCATTTTAAGAGATCTAAAAAATGGCCTCTTCTAGTAGAAGTTACACTCTCATCATGGCCCCGAAAAGGAATTCCTTCTTTCAAAAGATACCTTACAATATCAATTGAAGCATTCAAACGAACTCGATGTTCACTTTTAATTTTCTCAGATTGTTTGTCCAAAGAAGTTAGAATGGATTGTTCTTGGTTCATTAAATCTAGCATCATATTGAAACATCGATTATGAACACTACCCACGTTACCCACATGTGATTTAAGTCTTTTTAAACCTTTATTCCAACCTCTAAACCATCCGTTGTGAAAGCATCACCTGCTTTTTTTCCATATCCTCCAACCTCATTTTTAAACAAGTAACAACATAAACAAAATGCTGCATCTTGTTTAATGCTATATTCTAACCATTGAGAACATGAAGTTTTAAACCATTCAAGATTAAAGATACGCATTATTCCCCCAAAATCTCTTTTTGGAAAGACAAAACCACGAGGTTGACAAGCTCCATTTTGTATATAATTTCTCCTTATACGATCACGTAAATTAGGAGGATATTCTGAAATTGATTTTCTTTTAGCAGGATCGGGCTCATAATAGCATACTTTATCCGATGCTTGGGAAGGATTAATATTGTTATTAATAACTGGACTTTGAGAACTTGTCAAAGGAGAGCTAGAAGAAGCTGCAGAAGCTTGAGCTTTGTAAAAACTCGTGATCATATCGACTTTTGCTAGAAAAACCTAAAAATCACAAAACAGAAATCTACTTGAAGTTGTATGTTTCAAAATGCTATAATAAACTATTCTTTATCTCCTCTGACATAGTTCAATTTGTAAACTATAAGATATACCAATAAGAACTTATGAATACACAATGCTAAAATATAAAGAGTAAATCATCATGTACTTTATTTCACGAACTTATGTAGCACTAAATTTACACATCCCTTAAAAACCAATAGATAACTGGACATATTTTGTGCATTTATGATAAAATCCACACAGTAAAAAATATACTTTTATGTCAGAATTCAACTGGAAATGAGTATAAAGGTAATTGCCCCTCATTCTTGTAACAAACGAAAAATTCTTCTATCATGTGTAGAAACACTTTAAAAAAATTGAACATAGATAAACAAACATAAGTAACTTAATCTCAAACCAAATTGGAATAGCACAATTTTTAATCATCTATTCATAAATGATACTAGAGTAATACTTCTCTAATAGCACAATTCATTACACTAATTCATTACTCTTGAAGTTCATAATCGATCCCACAAAATAGCACATTTAGCCGATTCCCCTGTTACAATCAATCATCAGTAGCATAATCTCAAACCAAATTGGGATCAACCGTAACAATTCTGCACTATTTCTATTTGGGCTTATTCATTCCAATACCAAAATAATTTGCCTCAAATCAATTGAAAAAGGGTTAAGAATTTTAATTCACATGAGATGGGAAGACGGACAGATTACAGATACCTGAGACGAACCCTAGCAGAGGCAGCAGAACCCTAGCTTTTTTTTTATTTGGGAATTGGAAGAAAACCCAGCAGAACCCTAGGTTTTTTTTTTTGATTTGGCAATTGAAAGAAAAAGTTTGTGTTTAAAATTGGGAAGCTTCTATCTTTGTTTATTAGAAAGAAACACGTTATGTTGAGAGGTAAGTGAAGAAAACGTTGTCGTTCAGTTGATTTGTGAAAAAATATATTAAAAAAACAAAATAAAAAACTGCTTTAATGGGGAATCGAACCCACACCTTTTTCCAAGGAACCCACAGCCCTTACCACTGAACCCAGACCTCTTTTGTTACTGGGTTCAACATGATATATTTATATAGATGTGATAAATTTTTCAATACAAATACAGAATTTTGGAAAAAGTCACTGAGTTCGCCCGAACCCGCACCTACTACTGTACCTCCACCCCTTATCGGATATGGGACATGTCGAAAATAGGTAATATAAAAATGGACAATTTTTCTAATCGACACGTATTTAATATGAATAGAAAATGGGTTAACTGGCAAATAATATAGATATTCATATTATCTAAGACTTCTTGAATATGATCACACTTGGGAGAATTCCTAGTCTCAAAACTTGAGAAACCCCCAATTTGAGTCTTTGCAAATATAAAAGTTAAACTCATTGGTTATCTATTTATTACGTGAATAATATGAATCTTATTCATATTTGCCTACTTTTAAATAGTTCACTATCCAACTCATTTTTTAGTGAATAATATGGATGGTTAACTATTTCTTATTCATATTGCCACCACTAAATAGCTATTTCATATATGGTGGTAAACTTCCTGACTTGCTACATTCGATCATTTTGTCATTTTAGTGTTATTTGTTTGGTACTAAAATTTTCTAATACAAGGCACATACATATAGAGTGTCCCACTTGCTAGTCGACAATTAGACCAGACGAAATCAACATTTGATACTTAAATCTACTGTCAAAAAGAAATAAATAATTTTTAATAACAAAACAACACGTACTATTTTCTTGGAGGATGCTGCCGTGGATTAATTTGACAAAGGAACAAAGAGATTGGTTAACAAAGATCCAATAACAGAAAGAAAAAAGCAACAAACAAAAGTAAAGTGTGATCCTTTTTTCTCCAACTATAAATGTCAAACAAATTACAATTAATTAGAAAATTCAGTATAAACAACAAGTAGAATTTTGTTTAGTGGCTGTTACTTCATCATCCATCATGTTAATAATTTCTTTTTTTTCTTGAAGAGATTTTGGTGTAGTTGCTTCATTCATCTTAGCTTCCAAGCTTTTCTGACTCATAATTTCATGAATTTTTGTAATCATTTGAAGAAATGCTTCTTCTACATTTAGATTGTCCTTTGCTGATGTTTCCAAAAAAGATAATCCTTCTAATTGTGCAAGGCTTTGCCCATCTTCAACATTAACTTCTCTTGCAGAATTGGCCAAATCAGATTTATTTCCAACAAGAACAATTACCATGTCTGAGCTGCCATATTCTCTAAGCTCGTATAGCCATTTTCTTAAATTTTCAAATGTTGCTCTTCTTGTTATGTCGTACACAAGCAAGGCACCAAGTGCTCCACGGTAATATGAACTTGTTATGGCTCGAAACCTGGAAGAAAGAACGATATTTATGCAGGTTGGACATTAATACTCCCTCCGTATTAAAAAGAATGAGTCTATCTTCTTATTCCTTCCTCCGGTTCATTTAAGTGATTTTTGGCTATCTTTTTGTGGTCCATAATATTTGATTTTTCAAATATCAAGTAGGATTTCATTTCTTTTTTCCTAAAGGATATGTACAGCAATATCTTTTTTTCCATCAAAAGAAAAATAAATTGCATGCGATTGGATTTTTATTAATTAAATTTTCAATACACACTTTAGTCAAATTTATCGATCATGTCAACAAAGTGGTGAGTTGGTATCGATACTTTTATAGACTTAATAGGCGTGAAGATAAGGTAAACACATTAATTGGGCGGTTAATTTGGACTGATGTTGAGAGAATATCCTTCATTTATCCCCGTCATCAATTAGGAAAACTTACTAACTTTTTTCTCTGAATTTCCTTTCTGCAATTAGACCAAACTTTTCATCCATAAATGTTTTGGTAAATACTATAAAAGGTGTTCAGATATTCTTGTAATGACCTACTTATATACGTTGAACTTGAGATTAAGCAAATTAAAGAAGCCACGTCACTAAACACTAGCGGAACAAAGACGGAAGAATGATTTGAAGTTTATGGGTTCGAAATTTGTTACGGAACTTATAGCTCGTCCTAATTAAAGGGTTTGTAATTAATATTTATATTTATTATAATAAATTTTCTAATACAAGTATAATATTTAGCAAAAGTGATTGAGTTCACCCAAAAACCCTGCCTAATAGGCTAGCTTCGCCTCTTCTGGCCAAAAAGAGAGTTTCTGAAGGGAGGATCCTAACACGTTAAGCAAAACTTGTACTGATCCAATGGATCCAATCCTAATAGAAACATTCACAAAGGGTCTAAAAACAACAGTGTATAGTCATTATCAAAATAATAGTTAAATGTATATTTTATATGGATTAAAATATATAAATTTTATACACTTTTCGGTTATCGAATATAAATAGTTTCTGGAGCGGGCTAAAAGTGAAAAAAAATCCCATATTTGTTCGTGTATTGGAGTTCATTTTAATTGTTTAAGAATGAAAAGATGATTGTTGAGTTCAGAATACTAAATATGGATTAAAAACAAGCCCAACTGAATAAAAGAGGGTGAAGGATTAATAAAATAAAAAGTTGGGGGGGTACCTTTCTTGACCTGCAGTATCCCATATTTGTGCTTTGATGAGCTTATCACCAACTCTAATATTTCTGTAAGCAAATTCAACTCCAATGGTAGGTTTAGAATCCAGCTGAAATTGATCCTTAGCAAATCTTGACAAAAGGTTTGATTTCCCAACTGCTGAGTCTCCTATTAGAACTGCCTTGAATAGATAATCACACTCTTCATCAAATGAATCCCCCATAATACTCATAAGAATTTATTATTAATTACTTGCTAGGAACAATAAATATGTATATAAAGAAGAAAGAAAGAGGAAATAAGAGGAGAAGAAGAAGGAGAAGGCAGGTATGAGCTCAAGTCATAATCACTCACACATAAATGTGAAACCAAAGCCATGAGGACTCCTTTGGAAACTAATGGCTAGCTAGGAAAAAAAGAAAATTAATGGGTGTAAAGCATGTGATACCCTTTTTGATAATGACATTATGAGGTTCTTTAATTATGGCCTTTTTTAGCCTATCTTGTTTTTTTAATTAATAAAATTATTATCTCAAAAAAAGTTTAACTTCTAGCACGGATTCATTTTGATTATTTTTAAATTCACTTTTTATTATTAATTAATAAAAAAATATTTAACCATATTAACCTTAATTTGTTCATTGAAAATATAATAAATTCTTCAAGACTCTTTACTTCAAGGGCAACTTTGGAAGAAGAAAGTTAATTTCTTCTTAATATCTGAAAAAATCAAATATTATGGACCATAAAAAAAAGTTAATTTTTTTTAATTAAAGTAGATTGGAAGGAGTATACAACAATAATATAATAAAAGATTTTGATCACCTAAAAAATAGTTACAAATAATTGTCCATAAAAAATGGATTAATAATATAAAGAAATCTTACTTCATACAACGAGTTAAAATATAATGTTAGTATAGAAACATTTTACATTATTAAGTTAAATCCTTACAATTATTAGGTGACATCCACTTAGTTCGTATTGCTAACCATAATACTGGAGACTTTAGTAGTGATAAACCAAATTGATCCACATGTGCCCCTAATTATCTCCTTATATTTTATTTTGTGAATAATTGCTCGATTTCATGCTTCATGATTGGGGCTTCTTCCTCACCCAACTGTCAAATTAGCAATGGGCCAGGTGGGGGTGGGGCTAAAAGGTGTATAGGCAATCCTCCTATAGTTAGAGGCATCTTAAGAATAAAGTAATAAAATGGATAATCATTCCTAATCCTTTTTTTAGGAGAAAACGAAGTATTCTTAATTAAAAGGATTTGACCTAACTGTTGGTAATGAATTCAACACCCGACATTCAAACCCAAGATATCAATGTGTTTGGTATCAAATCAAGTCATTAGAGAAAAGGATTATTATCTAAGGAACAAAAGGAGAAAAGTAAGATGAAAGATTTATATGCTACAACTAGAATTCTCTAACCTCGCAACGATTCTAAATCAATTTGCATTTATCTAGGAAATAAGTTTCTATTTCTGTTCTACTTGCTCATATATATAGTTTCTTTTATCTTTAGTAACATGTTATGCATTTGAACGAAAGTCCAAAATTCGAAGTGGACAAAATGAGTAGTCACTGTATTCATGTGACCAACATTGTCATTTTCTACTCTTTGCTTCTACCCCCAAATTTTACCGATTTCTGACATTTCAGCATTGATTGGGAAAACGCTAGCACGAAAAATGGAAAAAATTATTGAAAAGTAAGTCAGGCTCCCGCACAAGTAGAGCAGACCTAAAAGCTACATATAGAAATATAATTTAAGTACCCCC